ATCATCTACTAGTGATTTGAGTTCATATTCCACCATGGCAGCTGGATAATTTAAATACATTAAATAAAGCTGAAACACAATAATAATACCAGTAATGGTGACTGTGGAAACATTAAACGTAAACACATCTCATTCACCAATGTTCTTTTTAGGGGTAAGGAATCCGCTGTCCTTACTTGTTTCTCCCTATATGTGATTCCACGTCCTCATAAGTCTGCTGGACTCTTCGGTGCTTTTTGAAATGGCCTAGCCACTGGGTTATATTCACCAGAATGAAAGCTGACCATCACCATGTAGAGGGCACTTCAGATAGGTAATAAATTATGCCCTGCTAGCAATGTTTACATCATTTTTTTAAAATTGGCATTATTTTACTTATTAACTATGTACTGTTCCAGGTTTAGGCCACATTAACAAGACACAGAATTGATGGAAATATGGTTAAGTATAGCATGAAAGGATTGCTTAAGGTTTGTGTATGTTAAATATTAATATTAATAAACATGTGGTATGAGATTTTGCCTGATGGAATGGAAGATATGAGCAACATGGAACGTGTTCTAACCTGCATGAGAAGTATTCACTAAAAAAATTTGTAATGTGCATTGCTGCACCAATTTATTAATCTGGTAGAGTTTCTGTTCGAGTAAATAAATGTTTTTATCTACTTAACAAATTAAAATATTGCTCATTATCTGTGAAAAATATCTCTGTGGTTGGACAGCATTTCGTTTCAGATACTAGCAAGTGAAATTCTGACAGAGCAAATATTAAGCCTGATTTTGACTAAACTAATGTAAATTTTTAGATAAGTTTCAATTCTAGGAAGAGAAGGTAATGAATCCAAGGAATATTGGCACCTTAAAGTAATTTGAATTATTGTTAATTATTATTTAAAGGAAAAATTTATTTTAGTTTCACTGAAACTTTACAATTTTTTTTCTGTTTGTCTTTGTATGTGCTCAAGATATTAAAAATAAATACATTTCCTTCCGTAGAAAATAATTTCCAAGTTAATTTTATAATGTATGTTCAGGAAACTGTGCTTTCAGTTCATTATTATTTAATAATTAAGTTTAATGATGAGCTTATTGTTACTCTGTATATTCCCAGATTTTCTTTGTTGCAAAAGTTGCACACACAAATCAATACGACGCAGTTTTACAACATGATTTTAGTTTTACATGTATTACAGTTTTACAGATCTCAGAACTGTAGGAGTACTGAACTGAGATAAAACAAATCTCAAGTGTTTGCTTACTCTGAAAGGAAATGCTGCAGAATTAAACCGTTAATAACAGCGCATGAACTGCGTGAAGTGTCAGCATGTTGTTTGATTTACAGACATCCCACATCATGCTGCAGTTGTGCCGAGATTATGTCTGTGCTGTTCTTCCATGCCATGAAGTACAAGCCACATGATCCCAAGAACCCTAACAATGATCGGTTTGTACTGTCAAAGGTAAGAATTGCTGCTGTAAACACTACAAATATATTTTGCTATCATATTTTACATTAAAATCACCATAGTAAGATTTATTGCAAACTTAAGTTATCAATTTGCCATTGAGGAAGGGCCATTGAATTTTTCATCTGTAGTAAGTACTGAGTAACAAAGCAGTTAACTTTGTCATCTTTCCTGTGAGTCATGGGCCTATAAGTTTGGTGTATTGTTATGTAGACTGGAAAATGGAGAAGATATAATAACCTGAGATTCTATTGTTAAAAATAATCATAAATTTTGAATGAGAGGCATGTGCATAATGACTGTCTTCATGTTCAATATGGTTTAAATTATAGCAAATGGATTTTGACTATATAGCTTTGTGCTGATTTTCAAAACAAAACTTATCTGAAATACAAAATAATCGTTCAGTTAAAATCTTTTCAGGGAGGCATTACTTGTCAGATGAAAAGGGACAACAGCATTGCTACCTACCATAATATTTAGCTGAAACATTTGTAAATACATCAACAGCTCATCAATCTTTGGCATAATAAATAAACATAATTAAGTCTTGCTGAAAGAGACACTTTATTGAAGCTTTTCAGCTTGTATTCAAAATAATTTGCACAGCTTGGGCGGCATGGTGGCTCTGTGGTTAGCACTGCTGCCTCACAGCGCCAGGGACCCGGGTTCAATTCCACCCTCGGGTGACTGTCTGTGTGGAGTTTGCATGTTCTCCCTGTGTCTGCGTGGGTTTCCTCCAGGTGCTCCGGTTTCCTCCCACAGTCCAAAGATGTGCAAGCTAGGTGGATTGTCATGCTAAATTGTCCATAGTGTTCAGGGGTGTGTAAATTAGTTTGGTTATAGGGGGATGGGTCTGGGTGGGATGCTCTGAGGGTCGGTGTGGGCTTGTTAACCCGAAGGGTCTGTTTCCACACTGTAGAGATTCTATGAAATTCATAATTCTATGATCTATGAAATGCCAATGTAAAGGGAAAGCAACATCTATACTGTAAGGGAAAAGAATTTGGCAAGTAAACTCTGATTAATAGGGGCATTGCCTTGAAAAATTAACCAGAGAATGACTTTTACCTATTTGCTGTGTTGAAATAAACATGCTGTGTGTTCATGTTCTTTCGATCTGTAAAGAACAAAGCCCTGTGTATTAATATATGTAGCTTCCAGAGGCAAAATGCTTAATATTGGAAGTTCCAAAAGAGAATCCTAAATAGTTTGTCATCATAATTCTTCATATACACTGGATTATTTAGCAAATATTATCCAATCACAGAACCACATCTTATGTTGGACACTGTTTTGAGTATTGTAAGCAGGGCCTGTTTCTGTACAGTTATTCCCTTGCCTGTTGCAAATAACCAAAGGGATATACCGTTTGACACAATCTGCCAGTCTTTGGAATGTGTGGCCTACATAATACCATACTTGCACTGAAATTCATATATCATAATGCTCATTTGTATAGTAGGAGAATGTATTTTTGGCTTGACAACAGCATCCTGTTGCTGGAAGTATCACTTATTGATACTACTATTGCATAGTAGTAGCATGAAACAGCTATTTTCATATATTGCTCAATTTTTGAATAATTCCAGGATAATTGGAGATAGACTGGGCGCTTCTCAGAACTAAAGGTGACAGACTTGGGGCAGTTTGTGTGTTTACATGATTTAGATTGAGAAATGATCTGATTGAGGTTGCAGGATAAAATTGATGTGCCATATTCCAGCATGAAGCTTGCATGGTGAACAAATAGCTCAGGCCTCCATCCTCAGTGAATAGGGCTTGAGCCATTTTCCCCATTAGCTGAGGCAGGAGTTAGCGTGTCTGGAAGGTCTGGACAGAGGGTTGGTAGGAAGTGACACTGCAGATGGGGGAGTGAGGCCTTTATGCGTAGGAATAGCATGACCATTACTATTATAATGAACGCTGTCAATTAGATAATTTCTTGCCAAACATTTCTATTTAATAAAGATTTACATTTGTGTGTGTCTCATGTACTGTGACTTACTTGAAGTGCAGTGACTGTTTTAGAGACAAACCTGTGACTGTTTTGCAGTGACCTTGCCATCATGATGTTTATAATGATTCTTTTGATATGGGTGAGTCAGGTTTTTTTTTTGAAAAGTACTTGTGGCTAACTTGGTCTATTAGAAAGGTCCAATTTAAATACTGTGGTATTTGAGATTAAAACTTTTCTTGGATATTGTGGCTTTAAGTTTAATGGAGGGTGATTATTGAGTATATTGTTGAATTATTCTAATTCTGATTCTGTGTGAATTCAAATGCCCCTTATGTCAGTTCAAATGCAGAAGATGATGTTACAATGAAACTATGTAACCTAGTAAAGGAGTTAATGAGAATGAAAAACAAGCCCTTGAAAAACAAAAAGTAAGCCCTGAAAATCAAAAGGTCACCCTTGAGAGACTCTCGAGCTGCAATTGTGGGGAAAGAAAATACATTGACCCCTGTTATGACTGCAGTGTGCCACATACAATGTCATACATTTGGCTATATAATATATGCTAATTGTAGCTTACTGATTGCTTAATCAATTTCTCTTTGTGTTTGAGCTGTTGATCACAGCATTGCCATAACTTTAATTGTGTGCATATAATTTATGGATGTTTGTACAGCATATGACAGGAAGGAGGTTGAAATTTGGAATGGATTTGTTTTTGCCTCATATTCATTCTTTTTCATGTGATAAAGTGTGGTGAGTACACAATGCCAGAGGGACAATCACTTAACAATTCTTCGTCCATTGAGTCAAGCCCTTCTCTCACTCACACATACAATAGAGGTAAAACCCTATTGTGTTCTGGTTTAGTTTAGTTAGTTTTGTTCCCTGGGCTCTATGCAAGTCTCTTAATGACAATCAATCCCCAAGTAGTCAGTTGTACTCTAAAAATTACTTTTATAAATGGATTTTCAATTTTTAAATAATCTCCACCTTCAGATTGAAGAAGCTGCTTCTTTAATGGAGTGGCAAGGTACTGCTTCAAAGTTTTTGGCATACCCGGTCTCCCTCAACAGGCTGCAAGTCTGTGGAATGTTGAAAATTTTGGGTGCAGCCAATCCCTTTGTGCAAAGAATCCTCTTGGTTGGATTTGGAGACCAAGCAAGGCTTGTGCAGAACGCAGATAGAAATCTGGTGATAGAAATTTCTGAATGCTTGTTCTGTTTTGGTTTTTGATTCCAGTATTATTACAGAGTTAGGCACAAAAGACATACACTTTTAACTTTGTCACAGGTAAAGGTTAAGATCATATTTAAGGAGTATGTGTCAAAGTTTATATTTTCTTTGTTTTAGGGCCATGCAGCTCCAATTTTGTATGCGGCCTGGGCTGAGGCTGGTTACCTGAATGTAGATCAGTTATTAACACTGAGGAAAATGGGTTCCATTCTTGAAGGGCACCCTGTTCCGGTGAGTTTTAACACGATATCGCATTAATGTACTTTGAGAAGATTTCTGTAAAGAAAAGGTAATCTTAAAACAAAAAAGGCAAACTATTGGCATTATGTTGGGAAATGGGAGCGTTGAGTGCTCCTTGATTTCCCCAAACTTTGCAGCCGGGCTCAAGGTAGGGGCCTGCTCTTCAAACCAAGGACAATACCTTTGGGAAACAAAAAGCTCAAAGAAAAGTAAGAGGAGCTACAGACCTTGAGATACTTGACACCTTCTTCAGGGTTGGGGCAGAGGAGTGATAAGCATTTACATCTATTTATATCATTTATATCTATGTGAGGCTGCTTACCTGGATATTGGCTTCTATTTTATTTGTTTCAGTCACATTTTGCCTCTTATTTCTTTTCAGAAACTAGCTTTTGTCGATGTTGCTACTGGATCCTTGGGGCAGGGTCTAGGAGCTGCTGCTGGCATGGCTTATACTGGGAAATATTTTGATAAAGCCAGGTGACCATTTTATATCATTAGCTCTCAAAAAATAGCCATTAACTATTGTTTATATTGAATTTTATGTTTCAAATAAAGTGTTAAGATGTTGAAAACTTCAGCCTCCAGTCTTCACAGCATTTTTCAAATCCCTGGACCACACCTAGGTGATAAAGGACAGCAGATGCATCGGAACAACACTACCAACAAGTTTCCCTTTAAAGTCACACGCTATGCTGACTTGGAACTATATTGCTGCTCCATCCCTAATTGTTCCTTGAGCTAGCTGAGGGAAGTTAAGTGTCAGCCATATTATGTGGGTTTGGAGTCGTGTAGGCCAGATCAGGCCAGAGTTCCTTCCCTAAGGAATATTCGTGAAAATGATGTTGATCAGATATTAATGAACTCAGATTTCACCATCTGCCTTGGTGGGATTCGAACTCGTCTCCAGACGTGTCGTGTGTCTCTGAATTATTAGTCTAGTGACATTATCTCTATACCACATCACCCCACAATTTTGGAGCTCCCTTCTTACCAACACTGTGGGCAAACCTACAACATGTGGACTGCAATGTTTTCAGGAAGATGATAGTACCATATTTGCAAGGGCCATTAATGATGGGCAATGACAATATTCACATCCCACTATTGAATAATAAAAAAAACTCCTTAGCTTTCTCTCCCTATCTTAATTTAAACCTATTATAAGATCATTAAACCAAAAGGCTGGTCTTTTATTTTTCAGAATTAAGAACATGAGTAAGATTTCAGACCTTCATTCTTTGTAAGCCATTCTACCAATAGATTAGGGTTAACAAGACCTCACCACCAACGTACTTGCCTTCGATTTAGATCCTTCGCTAACCTTGACTGACAACAAAAATCAACCACTTTCAGTCCTGAAAACCTCAATTGATCTGATCTTCATTGTCTTTTTGTAAGGAGAGTTCCAGATTTGCACCAGCTTTGTTTGGAAATGGTGCTTTCTGGTTCGCTCCTAAATAGCAAACTTCTAATTTTAAGAATATTCTCTTTTGTGTTGGATTCCCTTGCCTGAGGAAATTGTTTCTATCTTATGTCTTACTTTATCCTTCTGGATGTCTTTACTAGATCACTCTCCACCTGCTGTCGCAAACAAAATCTATGGATCCTTTTTGAAAATATAAGCTTTTTAAACACTTGTATCATTCTGGCAGATATGGGCTGGATCCACTTCAAAGGCAATATATATTTCCAAACATAACACAGTGTGGAGCTGGAGGAACACAGCAGGCCAGGCAGCATCAGAGGAGCAGGAAAGCTGATGTTTCGGAA